TACAAGGAGACAATGTGACCTTTATTCTCCCGTATTTCCCGTGCCTGACACACGGAAGGAACCGATAGATATTTGTAGACTGGTTGAACGAGGGTGCAAGGTGGCAGGCATAATGACTTCCACTGCTTTCCTGTCTTTTCCTTGATGTTTTCATTTTAAAGCAGCAGATGGATGGGGAAATGGGAATTATCTGGATCACAGCCAACGGGTACCTTCAATCACCTTCCGGTCCTTGTCCTAATTCACTGAATTGCTGTGCACCCAACTTGATTTCTACAGCTGACTCTCGCCTCTCAGACAAAAACCTTCCAGATGGCCTTATTTCCTAGGCAGGGCAAAACCCCGCATACACTGTGCTTCATTTCACATTAGATGCTCTTTGTTTCTAAAGATTGTTGCTGCAAAGACAAGAAGCACAAGACAAGATGATCTATCGCGAGTGATTAAAAGCCAGGGCTACACAGCGAGCTCAAGGCCAGTTTGAACTACATTGCAAGACCCCGTCTCAAAAACAAAGCAGAAAAGGAAAGAAAATATTTATTACCATGAGACACACTGCCATGAATCCCCCTCACGATGCTTCCCTTTGCTTCAGACACTTATCCCACTGTTCTTGCCACTTCTGAAGCAGCTCTGGAAGTGCTCTTTCATGAGTGTCTTCAGGTGCTGGGATCAGACATCTGGTGAACGCTGCTAGCAAGTGCCATCCAACAGAAAGGCAGGCTCATCAAAACATGGTGCATCCTCTCCCACCTTAGCCACTAGGTCTGGCACGTCCGACTTCAGGCTCTTCCCCAAGTCAAGGTGACAGTGCAAGGTAAACATTTGGACTCGACTGAGGACATCGAGGCATTGGCAGCAGAACTAAAGACACTCAGGAAACAGCACCTCCAGAACTGCTTCAGAAAGTAGCAAAAACAATGGGATAGATGTGCTTGATGTGAGAGGAAAGATTCTGAGGGGAATTAATGGCAATGTCTTTCATTGTAATAAATTTTTTAAAAAAATTTAAAAACTATGTCTTGGGCACATCTTGAATCTGACAGGAAGTCAAGCTGAAATGTGTACCCAAGTCTGTGCTCCAAAAGCCAGTGTGTACTGTATCCTTCCTGGCACGAGAACGCCTTGTAGTTATACTCCAGTAAATCACTAGGTTGTCCATCTATAGATACTGGTCAGAGCCTCTGAACAAAGGATAACTTAGTTCACTCTACACCCACTTCTCTTGTTTTGTTTTTTGAGAAACAAAAAGGCCTTAATCCAGTGTTGAATATGCTTTCTCCTGAACTGCTTTAACATAATCCTTTTCCTCAAAAAAGAGATGTACCCATTTTTAAAGTCTTTCCAAATTCGTACTTTGCTTCTGAGATACCAAGCCATTTCTTAAAGTTATAGCAGGTTAGTAGCGTTAACCTTTAAGTGTATTTTCAAGAAAAGAGGCTTGGGCACTCCACAAGATGGAGAGGGAGGGAGCTTGAAATTAGTTTTTAAACAGGGATGATTTTGCCAACTGCAGGACTTTTGGCAATACCTAGAGACGTTTCTGGCTGCTCTGGCTGGGGTTGAGTCCCGTGGCTACCGGTGTCCAGGGGCAGAGGCCGGGATGCTGCTCAACACCCTACAGTGCACAGGAGCCACCGGACACATAGACAGTGCCACGTGGAAAAAATCCCGTGTTAACCCTCGGCGGGGGAGCACTGAGCCTCCCAGCTGGGAGGGGAAACTGGCAAGGCAGTGATCGGAGGCTGGACAGGTGGGTGCAGTCCATTTCCACAGTGGTCTTGAACTCACTGTGTAGCCCAGGCTGGCCTGAGACTCGTGGCTATCCTCCTGCCTCAGCCTGCCAAGTGCTGGGATCACAAGTGTGCACCACCAGGGCTGGCCAGAAAAAGCATTTCTGATAACAACAAAATTACAAATCGCTGCCTGCTGGGCAAGCACAAGGACCTGAGTTTGATGCCCCGTACCAAAAAAAATCCCCCAAAACAAGACAAAACAAAAAAACCCAACAAAATTACAAAGTCATAAAAAAAATAGAGATGACAGAAATGCCCCCAAATGTTAGATCCCACAATCCCACTTCCTGGAGATAGTGGCTAATGATTTCATGCGTGTCCTTCTAGGTTTTTCCTAGCTACACACAGGTTGAGAACTCCTAGAAGATCCACAATCAGACGTGTCTCTCACGTGGCACAGTTGACTCAGCACTCAAGAAGCCTCAGGTTCCCAGTTTTTGGAGAAGGACATAACCAGTGAGGTCTCTGTGAATATTGCTAAATCCCAAGCATTTTGCATAGAAGGGGTGTGGCATACAGTCTGCCACTGCTTTTTTCTCCTGCAGTGTCTCGCACCTCCCCTGCCTGCTGGGTGCACCGCACAGCACATGTGGATCACAGGGCACACATGGCTGGCTCACACTGCGGTCCTGACCTGTGGATGCGCAGTGACCGAAGGTTTCCTATCACAGAGCACAGGGCTCTGAACCGCCTTTTACATTTCCCTCTGTGCACTGGTACAGACCTCTGGAAGTGTGCATGCTGGTTCAAAGGACGTGCTCATTATGAAAACATCTGAATTATACATAAAAGGGGTCTTCATTATTTGCATATTTGTTAACCTAGTCCTTACAGCTACCAGGTTGCAAAGAAGTGAAAGTCATCACAACACAGAGACATTCACTAAGGAAGTGATTACTTCTAAATTAGTATCTGAATCCAGTTGTGTATCCACCCTTGGATTCTAATCTTTTGTTGGTCTTTGTAAACACCAATAAGCGATATAAATACAATGTAGATAAATTGCAGTAATTGAGTCTTGCAAATGATGGTGGATTCAATGAGGTTGATAACGCTAGACAACCACTGTAATCTGAAGCAAAGTTCATAGTAAAAGGAAAGGCAAAGAGGGGTATGTGAGGGCATTTTTTTTTTTCTGGAGGTGGTAGTAGTGGGAATTGAACCCACAATCTTTTTTATACTTTTATTTCATTGTATTGGGTTTTTTTTTTTGAGACATGGCCTCAATATGTAGCCCAGGCTGGGCTTGAACTTGTGGCGATCCTCCTGCCTCAGCCTCCCAGAGTACTGGGATCCCAGAATGTGCCGCCACACTGGCTGCAGAGTGGTACTTATATAAAAAACAGTATGGAGGGTGGGGATTTAGCTCAATGGCACTGTGCTTTCCTTGTAAGTGCAAGGTCTTGAGTTCAATCCCTGGTACCACCCCCCCAAAAAAAACCCCTGAATATCAAGACATTGAGGGCCCTGTTGAAAACAGATGAAGACTTCAGCTATGTTTTGCTGGGCCAGGGATTTAGCTCAGTGGTTCCGCCGCCTGCCTTGCAAATGCAAGGTCCCGAGTTTGATCCACGGTACCAAAAATATATATATACGTTTTGCTAAAGTTCCCCCTATGGTTATGTTGCAAAACTGAAATAAGTTATTAAATTAGTTTCACTTGAAAAAACACTTATATCATAAGAATACATATTTGAGCCAGTCATGGTGGCGCATGCCTGTAATCCCACTACTCAGGAGGCTGAACCAGGAGGATCCCTGTGAGTTCTCAGCTACATACTGAGTTCTAGGCCAGCCTGAACTGCATAGCAAGACCCTGTCTCCAAAAAAAGTTGAAATTGGGAATGTTTTAATAACTTTGTTTTCATGATAAAAGTCACAATTAGCTGGGCACAGTCAGGTGCACAGTGGTGCACACCTGCAGCCCCAGCACTCTGGGAAATTTGAGGCAGGAAGATGACAAGTTAGAGTCAAGCCTGGGGAACCTGGCCACTCAAAAGAGACCCTGTCTCAGAAAGACACACAAAAAACAAAAGTCCCAGTCTGACTTCCTTTAGCCTCTAATCCCATCGTGTTGAATAAAATTCTGGCCCCATTTTAAGTAGGTTCCCTTTTTTTTGGTATTGGGAATGGAACACGGGGCCTTGTGCTTGCCAGGCGGGTGCCGCGCCACTGAGCTACATCCCGGCCCTAAGTGGGCTCACTTGAGGCGAGCGTCTTCTGGTGTCAGCTCTTCCTAGGCTGCGTCTCACAAGCCTGGAAGGAAGGCTGCACTCACGCCTTGGATGTGAAGGCAACAGTCTGATCTCTGCAGGAGCAAGTTTCTCTTGTGATACTTCAGGCTGGGTCCTCTCCCCTTCCTAAGAAGTCACTGGGACTGGGAACCAGGCCGGGTGGTGCATACCTATAATCTAGCTACCTGGAAAGCTGAGGTGGGAGGATCATAAAGTTCAAGGCTAGCCTGGGCAATTTAGGGACACTTTGTCAAAATTTTAAAAAAACAAAGTTAAAATTGCTGGAGGGTGTAGTTCAGAGCTTTCTGGGTTTAGTCTCCAGGGAAAAGAAAAAGTGGCCAGGGATAGGAAGACAGCCTGTGGCTGGTTTGCCTTTGATCACGGCTATTATTCCCAGGTGCTGGGTGGGGCAGGCAGCACAGGACAAATACCCGCCGCAGGCTCTCAGTGTCCCCTAGGCACTGCGTGGTGTCCCTCCCCGGACATAGGAAGTTCCTCTCCAGCACCAGCACAGGCCCTGAGAACTCAGCGAGGAGACCCTGTGGCTCTTTAATCCTGGAGTCCAATTCGGTAGTTTGAAGACTATTTTCAAGGGCCATGGAGACAAGACGGAATCATAAAATACATTTGCTTACAACCCTACAAACAGTATGCAGATACATACACACCCAGCCTTTTCAGTGGCAATTTATGTTTTTTATTTTTTATTTTTTTGGTACCAGGGATCAAACACGGGACCTTGCGCTTGCGAAGCAGGCGGCGGAACCACTGAGCTAAATCCCCAGCCCTTCAGTGGCAATTTAAAAACCAAAACACACAGCTTACAGACGGTCTCCGGATGTCCAAGCTGGAAGGAACTTGAACTTCACCATACAGAGATGAGGTGGCCAGAGCGAGTCTCTGTTGCAGCTACTCAGCTCTGTCAGTGCAGCACAAAAGCAGCCACGCAGACAATATGTAAACAAATGAGTGTGGTTAAGTTCTGATAAGTCTTTATTTATGGACACTGAGATTTGAATTTTACATTATTTTTCACATGCTGCAAAAAATATTCTTCTTTTGATCTTTTTCAACCATTTAAAAATGTAAAAACCATTTTTCAGCAGGCTACACAAAAACTGGTGGCGGTGGGATCTAACCCTGTCCTGGGCCACCCTCACACCCAAGTATGGTAACCCTGCCACTTAATACCTGGCTTGCTCTTTGCTTTACCCATCCACATCAAAGGCCCAAACTACTCACCAAAGATACACAACTAATGAGCTCTATACATATTTTTTAAATTTAGGAATAGTAGGATCTGTCAGAAATATGTGCCAGGCCACAGTTGAAAAACACTGATACAATGCCATATTGTATATTAAATTAACAATCAAGAGAAAAACATAATAAATTTGAGGAACTCACTGAATTTGAAAAATAGGCTTTATTTTAACCAGTGGTATTGTCTGACATCCTATAACTGATTACAGCTCGGTTCAGGAATACAAATAAAACAGCGTGTTTCCCACCGTCCCTCCGTGGTTCCCTAGCAGAGAACCAGAGGGGAGCTCTTCCGCGGCTCCGGCTCAGAGTCCAGGCACGCGGGGCGCGGCCTCCTAACTCGTCCACGGTCATGTGTAGAGACCTTTCTAGAAGGGTACTCACAGCAGCCTCCCGACGGGCAATCACACCAGCATTCACACCACGCACGCCGACGAAACCCACCCTGCTGTGGACGGTGAGCGCTGGCGCTGCACACAAGGAGCTAAGGCCTGGTGTCTGCTCTCCCGCGGGGACGGGGTCCCGGCCAGGGGCTCGCCCTCAACCCACCTCCGTCCCTCGGGCTCCAGCGGACTCGGGTCCTCCCTTCCCTCTGCAGTGCGTGGACCACTGCACGAACAGAGAGCGGAGACGACGTGGCCCAAATACGATCTGTCACACAGCCAAGTCTGGAATTGGCTCTGCACTTTCTCATTACACAAAAGGCTTAAATATGTGGATCCTCGCTCAGCACAAAATGCCTGAAATTCAGAAAGTTATGAAAGCAACTCTTCCCCACCCCTGAGCACAATTCAACTATAAAGGTGAATATACAAAATAGTAAAATAGTTTGCCCTTTCTTCCCATCAAAAGGAATCACACTCTCAAAGGATTCCTGCAATGTACAAAATTCTGAGAAAATTTATTTCTCCCCAAACCAAGATCAAAAAATCAATGGTAAGCTGCCAGGAAGACCCTTTCCATAGAGGGCTGGAAAAGACACCTTGTAATTAAAAAAAAATTTAGAGAAAGATAGCAGTAGGAGTTTCTGACCTCATGAGGGTTTATGTTTGCACTTTGATTTTCAGCATTTCTTAGCAATGGGAGTGAAGAGAACAACTTGTTTGCCAGAGTTTGGGATACTCCTGGACAAATCCCTGATCATCTGTCTCCACGATGGCTCCCCAAAAGCAGTTTGTTGAAAATCAGATGACAAAAATGAAAATGCACTCATCCACCCGCCCCTCCTTTTTCACATCAACAGCACCTGGAATATCAAGCATATTCCACACAAGACAGCACTGTGGCTGAAGAGCAGATGAAGTCCCTTGCCCCTTGCATCAGCTGAGGTGATGTGGGCTGGATCCACCCAAGTCTTCCTGGGTGGCCGTGCCTGGCCTAGGGCCTCCTAGGGCCTCCCGGAGAACAGGACGGGCGGCTGCGCATGCTCAAACAGCAGGGCGTGCAGGACACAGCCTCGCTCTGCTAGGAGACAGCACACACACTGACAGCAGGAACCTGCGTGTGACTGAGGCCTAGACTCGGGAGACCTCTGCACTGAGGGTGCGGAATAAGCAGAGAAACGGCGACACTTGGGAGCGAAGCCGGAGGATGTACATCTGCGCGCGCTCAGACATGGCCGCCTTCACGCGCTTCCTGGTGACTTCCGGCTCGCAGTGGCCGTTCACTGCCCTGCTACTTGCTTGGCTCAGAACTCAGCAGCTGCAGTCTTTGAACTATCTACACTGACTTCTCTCCTTTTAAGGCACAGACATATTTACAGTTTCAAACATAAGCAGTCAAGTTCTGAGAACCATACTGAGCAAGTTCATCATTGGCTCGTGGACAGAGCCGGTTGGTCCTTTTTGGCTGAACGCATGGCTGGGGGGACTGCTGCACACCTGAAGCAGCCAGAAGGCAGAGCCCTCTCTGTGCGCTGTGGTGTGTGGGCAAGGCCAGAAGGCTTTCCTTCACCGGGGACGGAATCTCAGGTGCGCGGCCTCACGAGAGGCCAGGGTGGTAAAAGCATAACTGGGATTGGGGGCATTTAATATTTTTACTTTGCATTTAACACATCCCTAACAAGATGGCAGCCCTTGTCTCCCTGAGTCAGGGGAGGCTGCTGTGGGCATCTGTAACTCCATGTAATGTCACTGTAATCATAACTGCTCTTATTACGCTCCTATCCTTCCACAAAGACAGACATGCGCGCGCACACACACGAACACACACACACATGCTATGCGTGCACACACACCCCTTCCACCATGGGGGAAGTCTTTGCAGCAAGAGGCACTTGAATGAGATTTGGAGAGTTCCCTTCCCCTCACAGTGAAGTGGGTGGACAGGACAGGGACCAGGCGCTCAGGACTCCATCTCTTCTTGGTCAAGGGGTGCTGGCACAAAGCTGATGACCTCGTCATAGGTCAAGCCTGGAAGTCAGGAAGGAGAGGCCAGATGTCAGAGCTCAGACTCTCTCTGCTGGCTGCACTCAGACTTCTAAACTCAAGCTCCTCCAGCTGAGGCTAGCACTGGAGGGGCTACTTCGAGGGACTGCCGCATCACTCGTGTGTGATGTCCATGAGGGACACAGGACTACACAGGTTCGAGGATCCATGTAAACCACTCATTTCTTCTCATTTCCCTCATCACTGAGTGCCTCCTCTTCACAGCTCTCTGGAGAAAGTGCTCAAGGATAACAGAGCACTTGGAGCTGCAGCCACAGGGAGTCCTGGCTCTGGGACATGACTAGAGTTCTGAACTGGTGTTTTAAGGAGAAAACATGAACTGGACATGGGAGACGTAGTTCTCTCCCCAGCTGTGTTCCTGACTCTACGGCAACAGCTAAGATACAAACTCTCCCTGCCTCAGTCCTATCAACTGGAAAACACCCTATTCGCTACTGATCTCAGACAGATGTTGCAAATGCAAAAACTCCAGAGAACCTCAAAGCTCTAACAGATGTGAAGGGCTGTGCACAAAATCAGACCACAATAGCCTCTCAAAGGTCCAGAGGGTCATCATCTACGACAGATTCCATTAGAGGAGCACACTCATCCTGCAGGCTCTAACTGCAAGTGTTAGTGAGCAGGTTGGAACCCCTTCATTTTTATTTTTCAAATTGGTTTGGGTAGTGATTTGTGTAGAAAAGGTTTCCTCTTTTTTTGGGGGGGGGGTTGGTTTTTTGTGGGGTTTTTTGTACCTGGGACCCAACTTGGGACCTTGCGATTGCGAGGCAGGCGGGGGCAGCACTGAGCTAAATCCCCGGCCCTGGTTTGGCTTTTTGAGACAGGGTCTCGCTATGTAGCCCAGGCTGGCATTGAACTCACAGCAATCCTCCTGCTTCCACTTGCCAAATGCTGAGATTACAGGCGTGCACCACCACACCTGGCTAAAAGGTTTTTAAAGAAGCGTTCCTAATGTGCATGTTAACACTGCCCTGAGGACTTACTTTTCCATTCATCTATGAGGAGGTCCCGGCTTTCAAAGGACTGATCATAAGGATCGGCCACTGGTTCATCATCAGGATCATGGTACTGAGCAAAGTAGGCATGTGCAAGGGCTTGGGCTGCCGTGATTCTCTTATCCGAGTCCAACACAAGCATCTTCTCCAGCAGGTCGACAGCTATCAGTACCACAGGTTGGAAGGAAAAATTGAGAGGTTTTAACATATTATAAAAACTAGGCTGTATCAATACACAGACACAGTTTTGACCCTTCATGTCCAAGTAGAGAATTCTCCAAAGTATCTGCTCTAGGAGATATTATCCCTTCCCCCATTGTTTGACTGTGTGTTTATTTTATATTTTTTAAGAATATAGCTAGGCATAGTGCTTATAATCCCAGCATTTAGGAAGCTGAGGGAGGAGGGTCACGAATTAGAACCCCATCTGGGCAACTTAATCTCAAAATAAAATATAAAAAGGGCTGCTGGGGATGTAGCTCAGTATGAACGCCCTGACTTCAATAAGCAGTGCCAAAAACAAACATTACTGGACTAAGAGTATCACTCAGTAGTAGAGCACTTGCCTCCCATGTATGAGGTCCTGGTTTCAATCCCCAGTTCAGTTCACTAAGAACTGAAAAAAATAACTGGGATTCTGTTTGAACAAACTTTTCTAGAATGTCAAGCTGCTACCACTATAAAGCGGAATCAAAATGTAAACCAAAGGGCTGGGGATGTAGCTCAGTGGTGCCGTGGCTGCCTGTTAAGAGCAAGGTCCTGAGTTCAATCCTTGGTACCAGGGGGGGAAAAAAAAAAGTAAACCGATAGCTGAAGTAACCCATTAATCAGATTTTTGTGTGTGTGGTTCCCCTCTACTGTTTATTTACTAACATATACAAATATATGTTCACTGAACAGAGCTTCAAACAAGGAACATGCAGAAGATTTTTTCCACGGGAATGTGTAGGAGACACTGTGTTGGGATAAAATAAAATTTTAGTTTTAAATATTTCACTAGGAAAACATTCAAATTTACAGAAATAAAAAAGTAAAAACAGTACAATGAACATCATATATGCCTACTATGTAGACTGAACAATTTACATTTTCTATTTTATTTATATGCATTTTTCTAAAGTTTTAAAACATTATAAAAGATGTCATTTTATACCCTATTTTAGCACAAAAACATCTTTCTGTATAATCACAATATTTTTATTATACCTAGCAAATAATTGTCAAATATCATTTAAAATTCTATTCAGTTAAAATTTCTCTGTCAAACTTGTCTGTTACAACTCTGTGTTCAAATGCCATGCATTTGATTGTTTCTTTTTCCTCTTTTATTTTTGGTACAGGGGATCAAACTCAGGACCTTGTGCTTGCGAGGCAGGTTCCAGAACCTCTGAGCTAAATCCCTGGCCCCATGATTTTTTTTTTTTTTTGGTATCAGGGATCGAACTCAGGTCCTTGTGCCTGTGCAGCAGGCATTGAAACCACTGAGCTAAATCCCTGGCCCATGATTTTGTTTCTTTATTCTCAATCTAGAATAATCTGTAATCTGTTTTTTCTTGTTTTTGATCTGAAAAGATATTCTAGTTGTCTTGAGAATACTCCTCATGAGGAATTGTCTGGCTGTTTTGAATCCAGGGCTTCTGCATTGAGCTATATCCCCCACCCCTTTCTTTTTTTCGAGACAGGGTTTCACTAAATTGCTGACTTGTGCAGTCTGGGCTTGAATTTGCAATCCTCCTGCCTCAACCCCCTAGAGTCCTGGGATTACAAGTGTGCACCACCACGCCTGGCCACCTGGCCGCTTCTCAGTGCATCGAGTATCTACACCCTTGCTTTCCTCTATCCCCAGATTTCCCGAATCTGGTAAGAATCAGCTTAGATACTTTTGGCAAGAATATGACAAGATGATGCTGTGTTCTCAGTGGTGCACTCAAGCCCTTTGTCTCACAGTTAATGCTGGGAAGTTTGATCAGCGGGTTAATGTTTCTCCTTTTGTCCCAAGCAAGTAATCTGAGGGATTTTTGGCACCAGGTGAATATCAGCTCCTCAGTTAGGGGCTTTAGCACCCACTGAGTTTCCTTCCCAAAAGCACTGATTCCAGCGGGAGTTAGAAAATGATAGTTTCCTAATCCCACCTTTCTGATGAGGATCTTCCGAGTTGCAGCACGGTGGTGCTCAGGAGGATAAATACTGCCACACCCTCAGTACTGCCAAAGAGAAACACTTGAGACCCTGCCAATCCTTTTTTTGTTTGGTACTGGGGAATGAATTCAAGACCTTGCACTTGTGAGGCAGCCAGTGGAACCACTGAGCTAAATCCCCAGCCCCCTCCATTTTTTTAAAGCTTTCCTCTACAGAGATTTTTTGAACATAAAATTCTTTTTTTTCTTTGGTATTGGGGATCAAACTCGGGACCTTATGCTTGCAAGGCAGGTGCCGGAACCACTGAGCTAAATCCCCAGCCCTCTATGGGTTCTTCATTGTATCCTGCAAGTGCTGCTCTAAAGTCACTTCCATCCTGCCGGCAGCCGTCCACCCTAACCCAGGACCTGGCAGCCAGTCCCTCCCTACACAGCAGGCCTTAGGCACATCTGCCAATCCATTCTTGTTTGTTTGTTTGTTTTGGTACCAGGGATTGAACTTGGGTCCTTGCGCTTTCAAGCCAGACAGTGGAATCACTGAGCTAAATCCCAGGCCCTGCCAATCCATTCTTTTGTTTTTGTTTTTGGTACCAGGGATCAAACTTGGGTCCTTCTGCTTGCGAGGCAGGTGGTGGAACCACTGAGCTAAATCCCCGGCCCTGCCAATCCATTCTTAATGTGGGCAGTGGGGAGGGTGAGGAAGAGGAAGCTTGCTGAAGAATAATTCCGAATTCCGGAATAATCCACGGGAGAAACAGGAGTTCCAAGGGACTCGGAAACAAATGACTGACACTTGTGTTGACTTAAGTCCCTACGTTTTTAAGCAAAGTAGTGTTTGTTTGGGTTTTTTTGGTACCGGAGATCGAACTCCAGACCTTGCGCTTGCAAGGCAGGTGGTGGAACCACTGAGTTAAATCCCTGGCCCCTTAAGTCCCTAAGTTTACACTTCAGCGGCCTGGGAGAACTGCAGCATAGATATTCTTTTCTTCTGAGAAAGACAACCCTTTCAGCTGTTGGTCTTATGACTGAACATCTATTATGTGATAGGCCTTAAGGTCAGAGGTGAGAAAGGGATTTCTCAAAGATCTGGACAGATAGCAACATCAAAGATCCACTGAAGTTTTGATTCAGGTTTTGAGACTAACAATGAAAAAGTTAGTGGCTGGCAGGCAGAACTGCTAATAGTTCTGCTGCTGCTCCTGCTCGGTTGACACGCTGGGCACGAGCTTGTATGTGACCAGGATGTTGTGCTCCAGCTGCCCAGCTAGGGACTTGGACGATGATGCTCGGCAACGGACTGTCAGGCACATTTGAACTGAGAATCGCAGAGCTGAGCACCACATGCACCAAAGCATCCACTCTGCCCGTCAGCAGTCTCTACTGCTAAGTGGACCTAGTTCCTGTCAGGTTTAAGGTTTGGGTCCCAGAGCACGGGTGTGCATGTCCTCAGTGACTGCGGGGACACACACACCTCCCACGCCCCCGAGAAGGGAGTAATGAGTCTGAGAGTCTGTTCACAGGGGGCTGGTGAGCACAGCCAGGTCTAAGGCCCGGGGCTGCTGAGATCTCCATGAGAGCTTATTGGGGATCCCCGGTGTAGAACACGGCTTAGACCAGACACACAGCCATACAAGGCCCAGGGCAGTGCACCCCGAAATCAGTTCCAGTAGAAGCCTCTGCATGCGATGGGTCTGTGGCTCCCTCCCAGGACATGAGTGTGACCCAGCTAAGATCCTCAAGGCTGAGGCAAATTCACCCACAGCGGCCCCTAGCACGAGCATCTCTGCTATTGTAAAACATAGCGACACTGAACTATCTTTCACAGAGACACTGAATCGCCCCTTCACAATCATATGGATGAAGCTCTTGATAAGGAAAAACTACCTAAGCCTTTACCCAGCATCTGAAGAGGTCGCCGTGGCCGTCACCTCTGCAGAGCCAACACTGAACCTGAAGTGGGGTCCTGGCCCGGTCCTTCCGGGCTGCCCTCAAGCACACACCCACCACCCAGGGAACCGAGCTGGAAGCGCTTTCTAGGGCCATGTGGAGCACACTCTCAGCCTTGCCTTACGGGACAGAACGACTCCTTGGCGACCCAGGACAATGCACATGCTCAGTGCCCCGTCCCTCCCCTTCCCCAAGGATCCTGGAGGTGACGGGGGACAGCGAGGACGATGGAGCCATTCTTTGAAGTCTGAGGTGGGGAACCGCTCTGCAAAGAGAAGATGGCTTAGCCTCTGAGAGGAAGAGGAGAGGGGACGTGCGTGAGTTTGGGTGTGGAGCCCTGAACACTGCTTGCTCGGGCTGGTTGGCTCTGCCCTCAGCTCGGGACCCCGCAGGTCAGCAGCAGTTGAACAGGTCACAGGCTGCCTTCTGCACCTCTTCTCACCTCCCTAACCTTTTCTCCCAGTTTCCTTGTTATTTTCTCTTTTCTTCACTGTAACGGCTATTTCCCCCACCAAATTCTATGATTGTACAATACACTTGTCACATGGTTCTCAAAAACCAGAATCCAACAATACAGACACAGATGATAAATGCCATTATCACATTCCAAGATTTAATGGTGCCTTATTTGGTCAAAAGGAAAAACTTCAAATCCCTCTTACAGTCACAGCCAATTTGATACCACAGCATGAGGATATACGGTCAACTTACCCAGGGGATTGGCACCAATAAATACATTTGCAAAGTTCATCTTCGGCATCTGGGTCAATGACTGAATATAGTTTCTTGCCTATAAAAACAAGAGTTTTCAGAATGACTTTGTGTAGCAGTGTCACAGTCTTCCATCTTGATTCCGAGAACAGTGCTGACTGACAGAGTCTGCTCGCTGAGTGCCAGGCCGCTGAGCATCCTACATACCCATGAAGACTTCTCTTACTGCTGCCCTGACTTCTGAATGTGAGCATCCTCTTCATTCCTGGCATCTCTCAGTTATATTTTACATAAACGAGACTGCTATCCATTAATTAAGTCCATTAGCTTTCTGATCACAGAATCAGAAGTTTGAAAGCATCAGTTGGTCAAGATATCTAAGAAGTAGCCCTTTATGAGAAATCCTCAGCTGTCATTTTTTAAAGAGCTAAAAACTGGCAGGGGAGTTCTACTGAAAAGCAGTCAAGAGTGGAACAGGACGTGCACCCAGCTGTAATCCCTTCCTACTTCAGCATGTAGCTAAGGGAAAGGAACACACACGTAAGACCCGTCAAATCCAGAGAAGAGCAATCCCTAAAATAAAGTTAAATACAAAGACTGCTGAGATATAGCCGAAATATTGTAGAGACAAAGTTGCTGGAAAGGACCTCTGCGATATTAGCTGGTTTCTCACAATATTGAGGGTACTTTAAAAAGCAGTATCCCAATGACCCTGATCCTGCAAGCAGAATTAGATTAGATGGTTAAGAATTGGGAAAGAAAGCACCTAGCCCTACCTAAGTGTTCATATTTACTCTATATTATTTGTGTATTTGCTTTTAAATATACTACACCCATTAGTATTGGGTGTTTTATGATGTTTTTCTTTTAATGAAAAGTCTTCTTTTCATCACTACAGTAAAAAAGGAAAGTACGCGCATAAACGCCAGTTAATGACACCTCTGGTCGTTACCACACGGCAGCGTACTGTGACCACGGGCTCAGACCTGGGAGGGACAAATAGCCCCTTGTGCACTAAATTTAAAAAGCCAAATATAAAAGGATCATCATTTTCCGTTTACAAGCTTGTTACGTTTTCAGTCTCACAAACTGGATGCCATTCTATCCCAATGTCAGCATCTTGCAGTAGCACGTAGGCGATCACTGCCTTAGACCCCAGGCACATGCAAGCCTTCGGGACATTCCAGACTGTGCTGGTTAGACAGGCAATAAAACGAGCACGGCTTCTTCATTAGCCTTTCCTGTGCAGTCTGCTCGGTTCTCACCTCATGGCTTGGCATCCTGTTAATCAGATAAGCAGGGGGTGTCCCCGTCAGGCGCATAATCTGCTGAAGCTGGTTAATATCTTAGATGCCTAGTCAAGGGCATTGTTAAACATACAGTGCAGAAAATGACTTTCAACTCAATTAAAAAAAAAAAAAGATTAAAAAAACTACCCCAAAACAAAACAATACAAAACAAAAGCTCTACTCTCCCCCACCCCAGGCCAGAGCCCAAGGCTGCATTATTAAGGCATGCTTCGGTGAGTGGCAGGAGTTATTAACCAGTGAGTGGTCATGCAGATAAGAAAAATTAATTTTCTTTGGTTTTAGTATCATTGTACTGTTAAATATTTTAGGTTCCCTGAAAACAGATTGCTTTTGATCCAGGATGCCAGCCAGAGAACTGTTTTCAAGTTCTGATGGCCAAAACTTGTTTGCCTATTTTGTAAATATAAAGGATTGAGACAATTTTGACTCAATTTTGGATAATATAAAATATCCAATAGATCAATTCAGAAAGAGGTTACATTTCTATGGCACAGGTTCTCCAAGGAACCACCCTTCCAGATTAAGACACGAGTGGGAGTGTGGGTTGATAAGCAGCACCAAGTTCAAAGACATCAGCAGTGGTACACTTTGAATACATGCCACAAACACACAATGGTAACTGCAGAAAGAGGAGATGGGGTTGGGGGAGTTAGAGGCTAACGGCAAAGGCAAAACTGAAGGCGCAAGCTGCCAACAGTATCAGAGCATGCCGCAATGGTTACTTCCGTGAATTCTAATGAGTAAATAGATCCCTTACCAAACTGCTGGGAGAATTATCTTGCAAGGGTAGAACCA